TGGCCCAGGAAACCTCGGAGGATCTTTGAGTGGTTTGTTTGGCAGCCCCCGCGCGGGCCGGGCAGGGGCGGGCGCGTCTTTTCCGGGCGGCGCTAAACATGTCTCCAAGGGCATCGGGCTGGCCCGCGGGGCCCCGTGGGTTCCGCGCGGCGCGGCGGGGCTTGGGGCATGGTTTGATCAGAGGACTTGAGGCGCAGTGGGACTTTCAGATCGGTCAAGCAATGCATCCCTGGAGGTGGCATTCTAGGTTGCTTGGTCGTGTTTGTCGTTGTGCCCATGGCGCTGCAAGCCTTCGTGATCTGGATGATGCTTCCATCCCGCGCCGTCGTATATTCCGTTGCTGGCGTTTGGCTTTCCACCGCTCTTACTCGGCATGGCCGCCAGCCAGTCAACAGAATTTGAAGTGGCTTCGCATGGCGTTTTTTTCTTCTGCGGGTCCGTGGGGGCCGACGCGGGGGCGCCCAGCGCGCCGCCGCCCCCTTGGCGCGCCGGTGTCCAAGACGGCCATGCTCTGCAGCGCCTGCTAGCCGCCGAGCCCTTCCCTGCGCCTCCATCGTTCCTTCTTTTTTTCGTTGCCCCCCCTTCCCCCGCCCTCTTATTTCTTCTCCCCTCTGCCCTTCCGCCCGTCCTGCCCCCCCCCCATCTTCCATCGGTTTCCTCTTTCGCGTTGTCCCTGTCCCTTCCCCTTCCCCCATTCACCCCCCCTCCTCGTCTTCCCCCCCCTCCTCCCCAGTCTTGTTCGCTAATCGTTCCCCTGGCTTCTCCTTCTGCCGCCCCCCCCGCCCGCCCCCTCTCGGCCCCTTCTCCCCCCCCCCTCCTTCCCGCCTCGCGCCCCCCTCCTCCACCCTTCGTTTTGCTTCGCCACCCTTGTTTCCCTTTATCCCCCCCCGCCCCCCTTTCTCGGCCCTGTATCTCCCCCCTGTTTCCTCCGCGCGACCCCCCCCCGCTTCTCTCTGGTCCCCGTCGAAAGCGCCGCGGGCGCGCGCGGCAATGGCAGTGGCGGCGCGGGCGCTGCCGACGCTGCCGCCGTTTCTTCTGCCCCTTTCACCCCCGTGCCTCGCGCGCTGCCCGTTCCCCCATCCTCCGTTGCCACGCTGGTTCAAGCCGCGTCGCCCTGCGGCTTGATGCGCAGCTGGCGCCGCCAGCGCAACGCTGAGCCATTCGACGGGCGCCAGGGGGGCGCGCGACGCGCGCCCCCAAAGCGGCGCTGGGGGGCGCGACGGGCGCAGCGGATATCCATGGGCAAGCGCTGCGGCGGGCGCCGGCGAAGCGGCGCTGATCAGCAGGCCGCGACTGGCTCCCGCGGGCGCATTTTAGGCGAGCGGCGCCCGGCGCGGCCGCGCAGAATTGGGCGGCCCATCGGGCGCCGCTCTCGCGACGCAGGGCGGCGCGACGGGCGCGAACGGCCCGCCGCCGAGCAGCGCGACCGAACGCGACAGTTCGATTTTGACAGAATTACGGACGCCGGCAACGCGAGTTCTATCGCTGCGGCGGGTGCCATCGCCATGGCGCGGGTCGCCGCGGCGACGCGCAGCGCGACGCCCCCCCTCTGCCCCGCCGCGCGGGAAAGCGGCGGGGACGGGGCGCGGAAAAGGTGCGGCACTTGGAGGCCGAGTACCTCGACCAGCATCCGCAGTTCGAGTTGTTTTTCGAGTTCCGGGAGATGCCCGAGATGATCGCGGCGGAGGTCGACAGCGACTGGGCATCCGAGCCTGGGCAGAAGTCCGTGGACGGCTGCTTCCCGCCCATTGGGTCGCACCAGATCGACGGCTGGAGCACCTAGCAGGGGGACCGCGCGCTGATCAGCGCGGAGGTGGGGTTCACAGGCGCCGTGGACGGACGACATGGCTGAAGAACTTGCTGAGCGAGACGGGTGCCGAGATGGGGTTGCATATGAATACGGACAGTTTTGGCGCGAAGAGCATCGCCTCACGCCTGGGATGCGGCAAGGTGCGGCGCTTGGAGGCCAAGTACCTCTGGGACCAGGAGCAGGTGCAGAACCACACCATCTCCTGGACCTGCTCCTACTTTTCCTCCTCCTCCTCCCCCTCCTCCTCCTCCTCCTCTTCCTCTTTCTCGTTCTCCCCCTCCTCCTCTTCCCTCCTCCTCCTCCGGTATCTCCTCATTTCACTCCTTCTCGTCCTCCTCCTCATACGAAATCTCGCGGTCCTGGTGCGATTCCTCCTCGTCGTTTCCTTCCTTGTCCTCTTCATCCTCTACCTCGTCAGCGACCTACTCATAGTGTTTTTTTGTTCTCCTCCTGCTTGCCGTGCTCCCCCTTGTGTTCCTCGTACTTTTCGCGCTCCTCGTCCTCCTCCATTTCGCAGTGCTCCTCCTCTTCCTCTTCCGCCGCCTCCTCCTCGAAATGTTCCTCCTCCCCCCCCTCGTCCTCGCATTCCTCCTCCTCCTGTCCCTCCCCTTCGTCCTCCCCTTTTTCCTCGTCCTCCTCATCATCCTTTTCTTCTCCGCTTCTTCCGCCAAGCCAAGGATGCCGTCGCACTCTCGATGCCGCTTCCAGGAGGCGCCCTCGTCAGGGATGCCCTCACACAGGTAACGCTTGAGCCTGGTCCCGGTTCCTTCCCCCATTTTTCTTTTCGCGCAGCATCCCGGAGTTTGTTTCTCCTCCGTCTCTGCTCCCCGATCCTGCTGTCTCCTTCTTGCCCGCCGTGCTCTCCGAGGTATCTTCACGATGTGTTCCAGCATGGCCCCTCCCTGACCAGCCCTTGCGATCTACCCAAGTATCGTCCTCGCGGTCCGGCACCAACTGCCGCCGTCGGGCCAGGGGCACCCAGATTCCCGCCAGAGCACAACAAGTCCACAGCAAAAGTGAAATGGAACGGTTCGTTTGGGTCTGCTGACCCCTCCTCGCTCCTCCCCCCTCCCTTGCGGAGCCCAGAGTTTCGAGGACGCTTCAAGCGATGCGGGTCAGACCACCTCTGGCGCGGCATCTCGGAGCCCATTTGCGAGGATGTTTCGAGCGAGCCACACCAGACCACCTCGCGCACATTTTCTGAGAGCCCAGGGTGGCGAGGATGTCTCAGGCGAAACGAGCTGGACCACCCCGCGCACACTTGTAAGGAGCTCAGAGTTGCGAGGATGTTTCAGGCGAGTCGGGCCAGACCACCTCGCGCACAACATCTCGGAAACCCGAAATTGCAGGGATGTTTCGGGCGAGACGGGCTGGGCCACGTCGCGTGCGATGTCTGGGAGCTGAGAGTGCCCAGGATGTCCCGGGCGGCGCCCGGGCCCCTCCCAGAGCACAGCTTGACAACAGGTGTGTAATCATGTGATTCGTTTGGGTCCGATTCATCTTCCCACTCGGCTCCCAGAGCTTCGAGGATGGGAGCCCCAAGTTGCGAGGATTTGTTTGGCGAAGTGGGCTGGACAACCCCGCGCGCGACACCTGGGAGCTCAGAGTTCCGATGATGTGTATGTTCAGGCGGCGCCCAGGCCAGAGCACAATTCGACAGCAGACTCACGGAATCAAATGGTTCGGCTGGGTCTGACCCCTCTGCCCTCCTTTCTTCTCCCTCTCAGAGCCCAGACGTTCGATAATGTTTCAGGCGAAGCGGGCTGGACCATGGACCACCTCGCCCGTAGCCTCTCGGATCCCCGAGTTGCACGGGTACCTCAAGCAAAACAGGCCACACATCCTTGCATACATTTTCTCAGAGCTCAAGGTTGCAAGGATGTCTCAGGCGAAACGAGCTGAACCACCTTTTCGCGCAGCATCTCGGAACTGAGGGGCGCGAGGATGTCTCAAGCGAAACGTGCCGGACCACCTCTCGTGCGGCAGCTCGGAGCTCAGGGTTGCGAGGATGTCTCAAGCGAAACGCGCCGGACCACCTCGCGCGCGGCATCTCGGAGCCCGGAGTTGCGAGGGTTTCTCAGGCGAAACGAGCTGAACCACCTCGCGCGCGGCATTTGGGAACCCCGAATTGCGAGGATGTTTCGGCGAAACAAGCGAGACCACCTCGCGCGCAGCATCTCGGAACCATGAATTGCGAGGCGCGAGACGGGCTGGACCACGTCGCGTGCGACATCTGGGAGCTGATCCGAGAGTTCCGAGGATGTCCCGAGCTGAGAGTTCCGAGGATGTCCCGTCTGAGGCCAGAGTTGCTAGGATGTCTCAGGCAAGACAAGCCGGACCACCTCTCGCAGCATCTCAGGGCTTGGAGTTTCGAGGATGTCTGAGGCGGAACGGCCCGAACCACCTCGCGCGCGGCGTCTCATAGCCCAGATGTTCGAGGATGTCTCAGGCGAAACGGCCCAGAACACCTCTCGCACAGCATCTCGGGGCTTAGAGTTGCGAAGATGTCTGAGGCGAAACGGCCTTGAGCACCTCTCGCGCGGCGTCCCGGAGCCCAGATATTCGAGGATGTCTCAAGCGAAGCGGCCAATCCTGGACAATTCTGAAACGAGGGTTGTGAGAATGTTTTAAGCGAAACGGCCGAGAGCACCAGACTTTTTTGAGTAGTTTCTGTTCCCTTTTCCCGCGGCCAGGGTCAACTTCTACCACAACATCTGGTTGACCCAAAAGGGGATCCAGCGACAAAGGAGTGGTGCAATAGATCTGGTGCAATTGATTTGTGGGTTGCAATAGATTTGGGGCGTGCAATATTTTGCGGGGCGCAAATGTATTTCTGGAGTTTCGCGTGCAATACAGTAGTTGCTATACAATGCAATACAATTCTCCAGCGCAATATATTTGCAATACACTTACCCCAAATCTATTGCACAAGCTCCTTTCAGCTGGACCCTTTCTGGGCCAACCAAACAACAGCACCCCTTTCAGCAAGCTGTTTGGGGAGAGAAACACGAGGCCAAATCCCGAACGGAGGTCGCTGCATCCGCAGAAAGTCCCCCCAGGCACTCTCTTGGATACGGGACCGCACTCGGCTAGCGCAGACACCGACCAGGAACTTGCCGCGCGCGCTCGTGAGGCACACGTCTATCCGTTATTTACGCCGCCGCGGTTGATGGGGTCACCAAGGCACCAGAATGGCCACCAACAATGCCACCAGGATGGTCACATTCCGTGATCATGTTGGCTCAATCCGTTCTTGGTTCAAAACTTGCTTGTGGCTTCTGTCCCCGCCGTCCACCCTTATGAGCCAGGCGTCCCTCTTCGACGCCGCAGTCGCGTCTCGCATGCCGTCGAGCCAGCTCCTGCGGGCAACGGACGCGGCCCGGTGCGCGGAGCTGCTGGGCGGGAGGTTGGTGGTCAGGAACACGTTCATACACTACGAGGAGCCCCGCCAACTTCTCCGCGCTTCGCGGTCGGCGCCCGCGCTGCGTGCTACGTCGGCGGGCCTCGGCGAGCCACCGTCGTCCTCGGCCGTCGAGTGGCGCACCACCTTGCTGTTGCGCAACCTGCCGTACGTGCTCACCCGGGACATGTTCGTGCAGTTGTTGGACTCGCACGGCTTTCGAACGCAGTACGACCTGGTGTACCTACCGGTTGATTTCAAAACGAACCAGAATCTCGGCTATGGGTTCGTCAACGCGGTCAGTCCTGAGATCGCCACCCGCTTCTTCATCGCTTTCGATGGCTTCCAGGCGTGGCCCAAGAAGAGCCTGAAGACGTGCAGCGTGTGCTGGAGTGACCGGCAGGGCCTCGAGAGCAACATCCGCGTCTACCGCAACTTGGGGGTCATGAAGCAGATCGGGCCGGACGAAACGGGGGGATTGGGAAAGGGGGGGTTACGAAATCTGCTGCATGCCGTTGGTTTCGGCCTCGCCGAGGGGCCCGTTCCTCGATACGTAGCCGCCTCCGGCGCCGGGAGGCGCCGGGAAACTCAGCTACGTGAGCTGCTTCTCAAACCCCCCATTTGCTATCCCCCCCTTTCGCCCGACCCGAGCAGACCACCTCCGAGGCCTGGAAGCCGGCACTCTTCTCGCAGGGCCGCCGGGTGCCGTTCCCCGCGCCCACGAGGAGGCTGCGGGGCCTCACCGGCAGGCTGGCCCCGGCGCAGCGCGGCTCCCACCCGCTCGGGCAGCGGATGCTCAGCGACGGCAGTTGACTTCAGACTGGATGGATGGGGGGAAGGTGACCTGTGTCTCCTCCTCCTCCCCCTCCTCCCCCTCCTGCTCCGCCTCCTCCTCCTCCTCCGCCTCCTCCTCCTCCTCCTCCTGCTCCTCCTGCTCCTCCTCCTCCTCCTCCTCCTCCTCCTCCTCCTCCTCCTCCTCCTCCGTCAAGCAGTGGCGAAACGTCCTGGCGCGCCTATAGCCCCACCCAACAATGTTCCAAGAGCCTCGTGTGGTTTCCACGAAATGTTCTCAGCACATCTCTGGCGGAGTCTGCCTTGTGTTATCACATCGGGTTTTCAAAGAACATTGTTTGCGTTCTTAGAACATTGTGGGGTTCTAAGAGCACTTCGTGGTAGGACTATAGGAATGCCGGGACGGTCGGTCCCTGCTCAACTGTGAGGTGCAGCGCCTGCGCCGCTCACAGTGTGTATATGCAGGTGTTGCATTCATCCTTCCAGCCAGCAGGGCTGCCACCTTCAATCTGTTCGGGTGGGCAACTCTATTGTTGCCAATCGATCCCGGTTCTGGCGACCGCGCTACCCGATATAGTATACAGTCGGGGCCCTGAAGAAGGAACCCTTTTCGTTGGGGAGGGGCTCCGCGTTCCTCAAGTGTTTCACAGCTTGCCTCAGGCTTTCCTTATGTTCTCGACTGGAAATCGAAGGTTCACTTATGGAAAAAAAGGGCCTCGTTCCTTATTTTGGGTTCCTTAGGTCAAGCCCCCGACTGTAGGCAGGGAGGATAAGGGAGGAAATGGGAGATGCACGAGTCCACTCCTCGGGCCTCCTGCACCACGCGCAGCAACATCTCGAGGCCACGCCTGGCCATATTCAGGAGGGGACAACAACACAGACACAATTCATCGTCGACCCCCCGGAAAATATGGGAACATATGGGAATTGGGCGGGAAGACACAAATCTGGCAAATGTGGGAAAATAGGGGAAATATTTTTATGTGTGTGTATTTATTTGTGTGTCCTGGGGCCCCTTGACATATGAGGTATCCTCGGGGCGCTAGCGTCGCGGCTCTCGCAGTGGTAGGCCGCGGGTGCTTGTTCTTGACGAGCCTGAAGGGCTGGCGGCAACCCACACCGGCCTGTTTGGAGGGGCGGATTCGAGCTGCATCTCGGAGGCTTTGGAGCCTCGGCGGTCACGCCCGCTGGGCGGAAGAGCCAGGGTAACAGGTGTCGAGCATCCAGCATAATTCAAGTCCAGTGCACTGGCGTGCTGCTGGCCGTTCCCGGATCTCTTTCAAGCCGCTGGATGTTTTCCGCCATACAAAACTCGCCGTGTTCCAACGGGGGCCGGCGCCCGCCCGTTCATCGGGCGAAGCGCGCTATGCACGTGCACCGAGCCTGGCAACGTCCCTCCTTGACCCAGGATCGGTGCGTGTACCTCCCTGGCCAAGGCAAGAGGGCCCATGCACCGATCCTGGGCTCAGGGTTGGGCCTGGCCAGACTCGGTGTGTGTGTGTGTGTGTGTGTGCACAGTCAAGGGCTCCCACGAGGGCGCGAAGTTCTTCGCGCTTCGCGCCTCGCGGGCCTCGGTCCTCCTCCCCCTCCTCCTCGTCCTCCTCCTCTCCCCTTGGGGGGTGCGGCGCGAGAGCGCGAAGTTCTTCGCGCTCTCGCGCTTCGCGGAGCGCGAAGCGCGAAGTTGGGAGCCCTAGATAGTTCTCAGCAGCACGCTCCTCCGCATACAGCGCCTTGCTCTTCGCCACGTGGCCAGGACGCCGGTGGCGGCGCTAGTGCGGGTCAAAGGGCTCTCCGGCTCTGCTCCTCCCCCTTCCCCTTCCCCCCCCCCAGAGAGAGAGAGGGCGCCTCCTCCTCCTCCTCCTCCTTCTCCTCCTCCTCCCCCTTCTCCTCCTCCTCCTCCTCCTCCTCCTCCTCCTCCTCCTCCTCCTCCTCCTCCCTCCCCCTTTCCCCCCTCCCCCAGAGAGGGAGGGCGCCCACGGGGCACGCCCGCGAAGCAGCTGGGGACGAGGAGGCCCTGTCAACGCTATGGCAGTCGCAGGAAGTACTTGCGACTCCACGTGATAGCGTCTGTGTGCCCATGTACGTTCCGTACTTAGCACTTTGTTTGCTTGCCCCAAGGATTTAAGGAGGCAAGCAAGCGCATTCTCACATGTTCCATGAGTTTTTGGTGAGGCTATTGCACTCGTTTAGAGGGGCCAGGTATCTAACTGCCTGCGGCAAGCCCCGCCACCATGACAGCCCAGCATTCTGGGTGGCGATCGTTCTAGAGGGCGCGGGAGGTCGTCACTTGGGAGAGCCGTGATGAGAATTCTTTACGCTTCGCGTATCCCCACCAGCCCATCTCACAACAGCAACTCTTGCGAAGCATGCCGACAGTCGTGTTTTTCAGGCGTGTGTCCGCTTGCCCCCGCATATCTCCCCTGTTCCTCCTTCCTCCTGCCTCCTTGTACGCGCGCCCCGCCCAGGGCCAGCCCGCCGCCGACCCGCCAACGCCGCGGACCCTTGGTGGCCCAGCTGCTGCTTCGCCGCCAGACGCTGCCGCCGAGGCAATCGCCGCGCTCGTGGACCACGCCGCGCAGGACGCCGCCGCAGTGGCCGCTGCTGGCGCGGCGCCTGCTGGGGCCGCGGGCAATGCGGCCTTGCTGCATCTGTTGCGGCAGCTCCCGGACGCCTTCCCGCGGGCGCCGCGGATCTGGGTGCCGCGATCCCTCTGGCAGCAGGTCGCGAGCGTCCTCCGGGCTCTCATCGTCGACGCAACGGCCCGCGCCAGCGCTGAGGCAGGTGACGCTGCGGCCGAGGTCGCTCACCGGCTGTGCAGGGCGGCGCCACAGCTCCTGCTCCGCGCAGCGTTGGACGAGACGGAGCCTGGGAACCTGGACGAGCAGGAGCTGCGCGACTCTTCCGGTTCCAATGCGATCCTCCGCACCCGCATCCGGTCCGCGGTCGGAGGCGATTGGGCCAAGCTGGTCACGGATCTGCTCCACGACCTTGACGTTGAGCGTGCTCGTCGCGGACCTCCCTGCACCCCGCCTTCGTCGCGCGACGCTGAGGGGCGTCTCACAGCCCCAGCAGCCCAGGCAGCGACCATGAAGATCCGGCATGGCAGCGCGCGCGGGGGGCGTGACATCCTTGTCGGAGGCCCTCGGGTTCCCCCTGGGCCTGCTGCGGACGAGGGCGTCAAGGCGCTGTCCCAGACTTGCCCCCTCGAGCCGGCAGACGAGGTGGCGCTGCGGGAGGCGCTCGCTGCGGCGGCGGCCATACCCATGAAGAAGCGTCTGAAGGTCACGCTGCGCCTCGTCGGCCGCCAGGCTGCGGCCATCAAGCCTGCAGCTGGATGCGGGCCCAGCGGCTGGCGGAACAGCCACATCTTGTGTGCCTACTCCGACCCAGACGGGCCGCGCGCCCTCGCTGAATGGAGCTCTTGCTGGACACGTGGCGCCATCAGCCCATGGCTCGCGGGTCTCTGGTCTGGAGCGCTCGCCCGGCCGTTCTACAAGACGGCGCTGTGTGAGAGCATCCGCCCCATCCTGCAAGGCGAGGCCTTGCTCAAGTTCGCCATGGGGACGTGCCTGCTGGGGGCTGGCATGCAGGTCGCGGACGCGGTCGGGGAGCGCCAGTACGGTGCCGGACGTTGTGCCGGCGCGCAGCTGGAGGTCGCGGAAGTCAGGGCAGCAGCGCGGGCCTTTCCGCAGCACGCGCTCATCGGCCTCGACATCAAGAACGCTTTCGGGCAGGTGCGCTGGGCCGACGCCCTCAAAGCAGCCGTGGCCAAGGCGCCCATGGTGGCCGTCCCCATGGCAATTCTCTGGTGGGACCTCCGGGTCGAGGTGTTCCTCCTGGACTCTGACGGGATGGGTTGGCATTCCTTTTTCATTCACGGCAGCCTCATCCAGGGGAACCAGGAGGGTCATCCCGCCTTCTGCATGGTCATTGCCGTGGTGTGGCACGTCGTCGTCAATGACCCGCGCTTGCAGCACAGGCGGCTGGAGATTCGCCACTGGTTGTACGTCGACGACTGGCTGCTCCAAGTGCCGCTGGCGATCGCGGTGCAGCTTCTCGCCGCTGTTGAGGCGGCTGCGGCGGCCCGCAACCTCCCGCTGCAGCTCGGGAAATGCGCGTTCCACGTGCCTGCGCTGGCCGGCACCCCGCCGGAGGCCCTCCCAGGAGACGCGCGGGCCCTCGCGGCGCGCATCCCCTTACCGCCCCGACGGGTTGAACTTGCTCGGCACGGAGGCGCGCGGCGACCAGGCCATGCCGCTCTACGCCGCCGGCGTTCCAGAGCAGACGCGGCAGCGCCTGGACGGGGCGATCCGCCTTGCCGACGCCGCGCTTGAGATGATGCGGTTAGCACCCCCAGCTGGTGCCAAGCAGGCCGCCTTCGCCCTATGCCGAGGCATCGTCGCCCATGCGCTCGACTATGATGCGGGAGTCGTACCGTGCAGCGCCCTGCTGCCCCACGCCCGCGTCCTGGGCCAGAGCGTCGTGGGCGTCGTCGCGGCGTCGATCGACCTGCGCCCAGAGCAGCTCACCGAGGCGGAGCTCCAGCAGATTGGTCTGCCAGTCCGGTTTGCTGGCCTGCAGGTGGACATGCTTTCGCGCATCGCCCCGCTGGCGCGGGCGGCGCGGCTCGTCGAGCATGGCCCCGCGCTCCGCGCAGAGGTCGCGTCTTGGGCCAGCGCCGGCGGCGAGGCGGCTGCGGTCGCCCACGACGTCAAGCAGTGCGACGGCGTCGACGATGCTGTCGCGGACGGCATCCTGGACATGCTGCGGGAGCGCGGCATCGCCGCCCTGGCCGGGTGCGGCCGCCCAGCATCGGATCCAGCAGATCGTGCAAGTGACCCGCTCCGCCCGGAGGCCCCAGAGCGGCACCTACTCAGCAGGTGCTTGCAGCGCTCGGCCGCGGCGCGCTACTCGGACTTGCTCGCGGGGGCTGCGACGCGGGACCGGACGCGCCTCCTCGGCGCGGCAGGGCCGACAGCGGGCGCGGCGCTCGCAGCCGACCTCTCCGTCCCTGGCGTCGCTCTCGCGGACAGGGAGTGGGTCGAGGCCGTGCGCGTCCGCCTGGGCATTCCCACGCCGTGCCCGCCCGGCGCGCAGTGCCTCATCGAGAAGACGTCCACGCAGGAGCTGTGCCTCGAGCAGCTGGACGCCCACGGCGACCACGCGGCCATGTGCGAGTGCGGGCCATTCCGGACCCGCCGGCACGACGACCTGGCCGACGTCTACGCGGACATCCTCGCGGAGGCGGGCGGGCACGTCCGCCGCGAGCTCTTTGTCCCCGAGCTCTCCACCAGCCGCGCGGAGGCATGGCTTGACGTCTGGGCTTATGGCGTCGCAGAGCTGCCGGACTGCCTCGTCGACGTCACTGTCCGGCATCCCATGTCGGTCGCCTGCCAGCCGGGGGCCGCGCGGGAGCCGGGATGCGCGGCGCGCACGGCCGAGGGGGAGAAAGACGAACGCTACCCACCTGCTGGCGGCCGGGCGGTCTGGCCTGCCGCGCACGAGACTTTCGGCCGCCTCGGGGCGCGCGCGGAGGCCCTCCTGGAGCACTGCGCGGCGGCGCACGCGAGGCGCGCCCACCGGAGGGGCCGCCTGCCGGGGAACGCCCTGCGCCGCTGGCGGGCGCAGCTCGACGCGGCGCTCATGCGGGGCTTCGCGGCGCAGCTGCTTGCGGCCCGCTGCGGGGTACCCGGGCGCCCTCGCAGGCGCGCGGCCCCGCTGAGCGCGCGGCAGCTGGAGGCGCGGAGCCCGTGACGGAGTCATGAGCGTTATGAGCGTCATAACTTTTTATTACACCACCTTGACGGGTAGCTGGCGCTCCTTGCGCATCCTCCTTGTGGGGGGAGCGGGAGAAGGACGAGGCGGAGGAGGAGGGAGAGAAAGCGCTCCTCGTGGTTTGAGTCGTTTGGGGTTTCTCGTCCTGGTGTGAGTCGTTGGGGCCCTTCTTCCTGGTGTGAGTCGTTCGGGCTCTTCGTGGTGTGAGTCGTTCGGGCTCTTCGTCCTGGTGTGAGTCGTTCGGGCTTCTCGTGGTGTGAGTTGTTCGGGCCCCTCGTCCTGGTGTGAGTCGTTCGGGCCCCTCCTCCTGGTGTGACTCGTTCGGGCTCCTCGTGGTGTGAGTCGTTCGGGGCCCTCGTCGTGGTGTGAGTCGTTCGGGCTCCTCGTGGTGTGAGTCGTTCGGGCGCCTCGTCCTGGTGTGAGTCGTTCGGGCCCCTCCTTCTGGTGTGAGTCGTTCGGGCTCTTCGTGGTGTGAGTCGTTCGGGCCCCTCGTCCTGGTGTGAGTCGTTCGGGCTCCTCGTGGCGTGAGGCGTTCGGGCACCTCGTCCCCTTTTGGGGCGTCTTGGGGGCCTCTTGGCGGCCCCAGGGGCTTCTAGGAGCGTCTTGGGTGCCTTGGGGGAGCCTCTTCGGGCCTCTTGGGAGCCTCTTGGAGGCCGTTTGGGGCGTCTTGGGGGCCTCTTGGCGGCCCCAGGGGCTTCCAGGAGCGTCTTGGGTGCCTCGGGGGAGCCTCTTGGGGCCTCTTGGGGACCTCTTGGGGGCATCTTGGGGGCCTCTTGGAGGCCTCTAGGGGGCCTCCTGGGGGCCTCTTGGGGCCATCTTGGGGCCTCTTGGGGCCTCCTGGGCGCTTCTTGGGGCCATCTTGGAGGGAATCGATCAAAGAAGAGGGGAGGTTTAATGAGCGCTGCCCCCTCAGAAGGCGAAAGTGGGCCCAATACTTTTTCGTAAAATCAATGATTTTGCATGGAAAGAAGAGGGGAGCTTTAATGAGCGCTGCCCCCTCAGAAGGCGAAAATGGGGCCAAAACCGTAGTAAAATCAATGATTTT